GACATCATCACGGTCAGCCCAGCAAAGGAGCTCTGATGAAACCATGAGGTGTGTAAGCCGTGTGCTAGGTGTCTTTCCGCCAAGATGGAAATGCAGCTTTGTCTAGGAGATGCTTTCTGCCCTGGCAGGAAGCCAGGCAGGGTGGTAAAGACAGGCTGCGTCTGTCCCGTGCCCCTGGCAGGGCGCACTGAGAAAGCCTCTCTGTAGGTTACACTGGAGACATGACTCTGAGGCCGTATCTGATTTCCTTCATCTGAGTCATGACTGCCCCTGTGTGTCCAGGAGTTTGCATTTCGCCGGTGGTGTTTATTTTTTTTTAATTTATCTGCTTTGAGAGAGAGAGAGCACAACGGGAGGAGGAACAGAGAGAGAGGGAGAGAGAGAGAATCCAAAGCAGGCTCTGAGCTGTCAGCACAGAGCCCAGGGCGGGGCTGGAACCCACGAACCGAGAGATCATGACCTGAGCCAAAATCAAGAGTCCGACGCTCAGCCGACTGAGCCACCCAGGCACCCCTGCTGATGATGTTTTTTAACTCCAACCCCCAAGGAAGTTTTCCTTCATCTCCTACGTGAAAGTTACTCACAAACGTCTTTTCTTCTCAGTCGCCAATATGTGTGCCTGGGTGTGGTAGCTCTCACAACCTGTGTAGCTGTACAGGTTGTTGTTTGTTTTGCTTTTCAATGTTTATGTTTAAGCGAGAGGGAGAGAGAGAGAGAACGCGCAGAGGAGGGGCACAGAGAAGGAGAAAGAGAACCCCAAGGAGGTTCTGCACCGTCAGTGCAGAGCCAAACTCAGGGCTTGACCCCACGAACCGTGAGATCACGACCTGAGCCGAGATCAAGGGTTGGACGCTCAAAGGACTGAGCTCCCCAGGCACGCCCCCCTCCCCCCCCTTTTGGTTTTAAATACGGCATTTAAAAGAATTTTTTTTTTTATGTTTTTATTTATTTTTGTGACAGAGAGAGACAGAACATGAGCAGGGGAGGGCCAGAGAGAGAGCTGGAGACACAGAATCGGAAGCAGGCTCCAGGCTCTGAGCTGTCAGCACAGAGCCTGATGCGGGGCTCCAACCCACAGACTGTGAGATCATGACCTGGGCCGAAGTCGGACGCCCAACCGACGAGCCACCCAGGCGCCCCTAAATACGGCATTTAAATAAGCTGTGTTGTTTTCCTGTATCAGCTCCTACAGAAGGTGTCCTGCCCCACACTTCACCTTCCAGAAGGTTAGGAACTCTTTGCCGCCTGGTGGCGTTACGATCTAGGAGCGTGAAGAAGCGTGTGTGCACAGACGCGGGCCGGGCTGCCTGAGCATCACCCCTGCAGTTGCCATCTGCACCCTGCGCGGGCGCCCCTCCTCCACCTGGGTGCTTCACGGTCTTCCTCAGGGAGACCAGGGAACGGCGTACGGGGGGGAGGCCCGGCGTGGCCGTCCTGCCCCAGCTCCATACCGTCGTGAGACCGCGGTCTGCGTGCCCTAGCTGGCCGTCACCGTTGTGTGCGGTTTGCTTCCCCGGTGCGCAGGGATCTGCCCTCCCCCGCCCCGCCCCCAGTGGAGCTGTGTGCTCGCGTGCGCAGGGCAGCCCATCTGCGCGGTCCCACGGGTGTTCTGTGTTTGCACAACCGCCGTCTGTCGGGGCGTGTGCCACTTCTGTTACGCCTTCCCTCCCAGCTCCAGCACGCAGTTCCTCGCCTCACCGCCCCACCAGCATCTCCAGCAGGCGGCGTCCCACACCCTTCCCGACCTCAGAAAGGGCGTCTAGGACGCCACCCCACGCACTGGGCTCACTGTGGCTTTTCCGTAGCTGTCCTGTGTCAGATTCAGAATGTTCCAGTACCGTTTCTGCTTTGCTACAAGTTTTTATCGCGTTTCCCTGGAATCTGTTTAGTAATGCTTCGTGTAGGGTCATGGGAGGGACTTCCCGCGGCTGGCCCCTCTCTGAAGGTCCCCATCAGGGTCTGGAGTGAGGACAGATCTCACTGTCTGTTCTCTGGAAACGTCTATGTAAGTTGGGTGTCATTTTCTCCTTATATGCTGAATAGAAATAACAGGTGAATCCACATAGACCTGAAGTGCTTCCGCAGGATTATTTTTAACTAAAGGTTCCATTTTTTAAATAGAGACAGAAAATTCTCTGTTTCTTCATGTGTCCATTTTGGTAAATTATGCTTTTCTCAGGATCCTGCATGTCATAAAATTAATTAGTTGCATAGACTTGTTCAATGTCTTTTTATTCACTTAACGGTGCAGGTGCACCGTCACCTACACCTGTCACGCCCTGGCTGGTGACTCATCTGCCTTCCCTCGTCAGCCAGACTTGCCAGCTGTTTGAACTTGTTGACGTCTCTCTACCGCATTATTTTCTTTCTTTATTTTCTGCTCTTATGTATATTTCTTCTACACTCATTGTGTTTAATTTGCTGTTGTTTTTCTAGCTTCTTCTGGTGAGTTTTACATCATCGGTTTATAGCTTCCTTCTTTCCTGATACATTTAAGAGTATAAATTCCCACTTAAGTAAGATTTACTGGCATCCCATATGTTTTGAAATGTTATAATTTCATCAAATTTATTTTTTTTTTTATTTTTTTTTCAACGTTTATTTATTTTTGGGACAGAGAGAGACAGAGCATGAATGGGGGAGGGTCAGTGAGAGAGGGAGACACAGAATCGGAAACAGGCTCCAGGCTCTGAGCCATCAGCCCAGAGCCTGACGCGGGGCTCGAACTCACGGACCGCGAGATCGTGACCTGGCCGCAGTCGGATGCTTAACCGACTGCGCCACCCAGGCGCCCCTAATTTCATCAAATTTAAAATGAGTTATTTTTTTATGGCAAAAACAGTATCTACTCATTGCCCTAAAGTTGGAAATCAGGAAAGTACAGCAGGAAAAGCCAACCTATGCTCGCACCTTCCAAGTTAACACCGTTCATGTGCCGGGTGTGGACTCACGCTATCATAATGTGCGTTGCTTTCCTTTTTAAAGGTACGCACACAACGCATACACGCCTGTGTGTGTGGAAGAGTGTGATGTGCTGATCGTTTCACGGCCTCTTCATTCCTGTTACTATTTCATACTCTTAACACGGCGAACCAATAGCGTGCTTGCACTAAGCACCCAGAATAGGAAATAAGCCACCAGGTACACGTGTGGCTTCGCCAAGACCCAAGGGAATCAGTGACCAGCTCTGGGCGCAGCGCGGCTGACAGCGAGGATGCCCCTGGTCACCTGCCTTGTGGCCCCCCAGGGAGCTCTCCTTTGAGATGATAAGATGATAATAAAACACAGTATGGATCACTTTTCTCCAGATTAACGAAGGCGAGCACATATATTTTGAATAGACAACAGTGAGGAGAAATTTATGTATTTAGTTAGTTAGTGTAACCGGACCTGGGAAATCAAAAATGAAAACAAAGACAAAAAACAAGGACTTCCATAAGCAGCGGTCACCTCTCAAACGTTGACATTTTGTAAGACCAGCTTTGGTCTGTCAGCCATACCTCGCAGGTCCCCTGCCAAGGCACGCTACATCAAATAGAATAGAAAAATACCGTGTTCAGTTACTCCCTGGTGGTTGAGGGGAGAAAACACACTGCTCATGGGACTGGACAGCCGTCTATGTCATGATTTCCTGGGGAGTGACTTTGGCCCCATGCCAAGTTCAAGGTATGGCCATCATGTATATCACGAGAAAGAGCTGTCATTCAGAAATCAGCAGTGACTTTTTTTCCCGTTTCCAGGACACGGAGTCTAATTCGACAAGGGCACAAAGCTGGCAGGGTGGGGGCATCTGTGTCGCCCGAGAGAGATGGGGACTCAGGCCCATCTGGACAGACACTTCCAGTGAGCAGTGTGGTGTGGCCGCCCAGCCGGGGATGCAGGGTGCAGGCTGCACAGTGGACCCTGGTGTCCAGAGCGCCGGAGGGAGTGACCTGTACCGTTGAGGCGCCCACAGTGCCATCACCTGCCAGTTTGTGTCTCTGACGCCATCAAAGGGCTCGTAGGAAAGCCACCCGAGGGACCGCCCCATGGAGCACAAGGTAGACATCTTGTGCCCAAGTTCAGAGGTCAGGGTAGACGCCCTTGAGTAGAAAGTAGACGGAAAGAGATTTTTATTCAGCCTACTAATCGTGTTGATTACAGCAAATTTCAGCTCAGTAAAGTTGGCTCTTGTGCCGTGTGTCACCAACTTCACACACAGTGTCACTTCCCACCCGTAATCCGTCACAGGCAGTAGAATGCTGCTCAGACAAATCTAACGAGAACTGGCTGAACAGGAGACTTTCTGGCAAGTGTTGGGGTCCCAGGTCTGCTCAGGCAAGGCCTGCAGGGTGCTTAGCTGGCCATGATGCACTGTGGCCATGACATGGTGTGTATGCACTTGTGGGCTCTGTGTTTGCAGGATTTCCAGGGTCACGGTTTCCGTTCGGTGGCCGTGTCCACCATCAGGGCGCTTCCAGCCAGAGACCCACGTTGTTAGCACTGTCTGCCCACCACCGACCCATTTCTGCAGACCAAGAGCCCAAATGGAATACCTCTTGCTGATTCCCATAGGCAAGGTGCCATTATTTATTGTTTATTCTCACATCCAGTGAACTCTTACAAGGCACCAAAGTAAAATTAAAAAAATAAATAAACAAGAATTAATGTTTTCTCCCCCAAGGCCACAGTACTGAAAATTTACTCCCAGTAAAATTGCAACAACTCTTACATCCTTGAAACCTCACCATTTATCCTAATTATAGCAACAGTCAATGTGTGTGTGTCTGTATCTATACAGGACCTTCTAGAAGAACAGGTCAGCTGCTCATTTAACGGTAAGTCCCAGGTTCCTTGATCACATAATTAGTTGAGATAAAGTTGAGAATCACTGAAGTAAAAGTTTTAAATTCCTTTCCTACCGAATTTGCAAGATTCCAAGTGAAAACTTTTTTAGCTTCATCTGTTTGTTACAGTTCCATCCACAGAAAGTGGTTGTATTTGAATTTTTGTTTTTATAGATCAGGATTTTCACGACCAACCAAAGAGAAGAAGAGCTAGAAAGCATAAATCGAAGAAAAATTCTAAAGATCCCAATAATATTCATGGAGAACAAGAAGAATTAGAGAAACAGCAGAGTCTTTTGCAAGAAAAATCGCAGCCACAGTGCACAGATGGCCCCACCATCAGCAGAAATAAAAAAAGGAAACTGAAAAAGAAACAGCAGATTAAAAGGAAAAAAGCAGCCGGCGTGATCACCAAAGCTTCTGGCGCCAACTTCCTGTACCAGCCTGAGCAGAGCGACAGCGAGCGCGACGTCGAGCAGCAAAGTGATGGCGGGGACGGAGCAGACGCCCGCGGGGGGGATGGCGCAGACGCCCGCGGGCACTGCAGTACAGACACCGGTGAGGAAAACCATAAAGACAGCAATGAGGAAGGTGTTAAAAGTATCAGTGAAAAGGCGGCTGGTATCCTGAACTTTCTAAAGTCAACACAAGAAATTTATTTTTATGACGGTATGTTTTTTCTGTTCTTTTGAATAGCGGCATCCACTTATTTGGAAAAGTAAACAAAGAGGGTAAAATATTTAAGTGTTTAAAATACAGAACATTAAGATATTCAATAGTCAAAATAAATCATTAGTTTCGAGGCAAAAATGAGAACATTTAAGTTCCCTCCCCCAAAGCTGGGGAGTGGCCTCGTCCTCGCGAGGCAAACGACAGAAATGGCAGAGTCCTGGCAGGGCTGTGGCCCAACCATAATTGGCCTCATCGTCCCGATTCCTCTAGAGCCCGATCGCAGAGCAGGGTGGCATTCTCGGCTGTATTTCCCAAGCAAAGGCAAGTCCAGACTGCAGTCCGACGAGCTCACGTTCCCTCCATCAGCTCAGAGGGAGGGTGGGAGGCATGGCCGGCTCCTCTAGGACACACTTTGTGTCACCCCCCACACGTGACTTGCTGATTTGAGATCCTCGGTGAGCGGCTCTCTGTGTTAACCGGGGAGACGAAGGACGAGAACCGATATATTCTCATGGACGGTGACTCCTCCCACTAGTGTTGGGGTTACCGACAGCCGACTTCCGGACCAGGAAGGGACAGGTGCACACGCAGAGCCCCGCGTTCACACCAGGGACAAAGCGCTCACAATGAACCGTTGCCTCAGTCAGGGCCGGGGTGGTTAGTGCTCCCCGTTCCCGCGAGAATCTGCCAGTGCTGTATGCACGAGGTGCAGACAGACCGGCTGTGTGATGACCTGGGAGGCCAGGGACTGATTTAAGCAAGGATGTGGAAGGACCACTGTCAACAGAGCAGCGGAACCATGTCCCCCCATTAGCACATGTGTCAGTACTTTGTACGAACAGGTTGAAAACATACGTAACAACCGTCCAAATGACGCTAATAGGAAGACCATGAATACAGTGCAGAACGGGAGGCTGGAAAGTTCTCCGTCCAGGATCTGTTCCGTGTGTGGGACGGTGTGTGTGGCAGGCAGCCTGTCCTGCCAGGGAACTGGGACAGCCTGGGACAGATCCTAGAGGACATGGCAGCACGTGAGGGTCGAGCCAGCATTCCACAGCCACCCTTTCCTCCAGGCAGTCTGCCAGGTCTGCACATGGGTCCGAGTCTGCTGAGAAAGGGGAGCGGGAGGACCACGCGCTCTGTTGGTCTCTCTCAGAATCTGCCAGACTGCACGCCAAGGGATGCGAGGTGGCCAGGAGCACAGACGTCTTGGCAGTTTTGAGGTGCAGACGAGGGTGACCAGGGTTGACCCCTGGGGCACCACAGATGGCCATGGGTGGGGCAGAGGACAGGAGCGTGTGGCCAAAACCACGAGAGAGGAGAGCAGGGGTGCGTCCGCAGGTGCGGAGGGCACGGATGTGACCAGACAAGGAATGCAGAGGGCTTGATTAAGGAGCTCACAAAAATAGGGGGAAATGGAGAAAACCAGTGAAGAATTAGAGAATTTCACCAGATAATTTTGGTCTGCTAGGATAATCACACGGAAATTCTGAGAAACAGAATCGCTGAAATGACGAACTCCATGCCGGGGGTAAACAGCCCTTGGGTTCAGCAGAAGAGACAAGTAGCAGCTGGAAGCAGACCGGAGCGGTGTCCGTAAGGGAGGGTGGGAACAGCAGACAGGAGCGCACTGGGTGCCGGGACCCAGGAGAAGGGGTGACACTTGTGGTTGGCGTCCAGGCCGGGGTGTGCAGGGGCCGTGTCCACACGACAGTCGGGAGCTCTTCAAAGTGGGTAAAGGCCATCAAGTCATAGACTCAAACAGCTGTGTGAACTCCAAGCAGGATTGAGGCAGAAAACACCACCCCCAGGGGGCAGTGGGGTCTGACTGTTTGCCGCTCAGCACAAACGGGGGGCCTTTGCTCCGGGCACCTTGGCCACCTTCAGAGCTCGGCCGTGTCCCTGCGGCCCAGCTGCGTGTCTGGAAGGTGTTGCGTGAGACCCACGCACACGGACGCCGGCCCCCACCGTCCTTCAGCAAGTAGTGTGTTGTGTGCGGGTCAGTGCTCTGCTCTGACGATGGCTCCTACATCCCAGACGGCTCGTTCCAGGTAGAAGTGGGTCACACTTGAAGCTTTCCTTAGGAGACGAAAGCTTACCTTCGGTTTAAAGCATAAACATAAAAGTGTATTTCTAAGTGCTCCTCCTGGCTTCGTTTAGGTATCTGCCAGGATCCAGGCTCGGCCGTCCTCCTGGAAACCACTCAGGAGCTATTTAAGCATCTTGACGGTCACGGCCTGTCCCCCTCAGATGTGCTCCTGCTGGATCACATGAAAAGCCTGTTACTTCTGCAAGATACCCAAGGGCTGAAACGAGCCCTCGAAATGTTCCCGGAACGCTGCACACTGCCGCCAGGTATGTATTGACCGCTTAGTCCTTATGCTGCTGCAGATGCTTGTGTCCGTGTTGGTCCCGAAAACTTACGCTCCACCAGGGCGGTCAGGAATCAGAAAACGTGAGGACGCACGTACGGCTTGGGAGAATGGAGGAGTGTGGTCCTCGTGTCCCTGCTTGCTGTAAAAGTAATTCACAAGCCAGGGGCGCCTGGGGGGCTCAGTCGGCTAAGCGTCGCGATCCCACCGTTCCTGAGTTCGAGCTCCGCATAGGGCTCTGTGCTGACGGTGCAAAGCCTGCTTGGGATTCTCTGTCTCTGCCCTTCCCTCGCTCATGCTGTGTCTCTCAAAAATAAATAAATAAGCTTAATAATAATAATAATTTGCATGATCGATGCAGAAATGCCTGTGCAACCTGATTTTCCAGACTTGTGAGCTATGAACTAATAGTTTATTGGGGCCAAATATTGTCAGAGAAAATTTCTCCTCTCTTTCTTCTTTCTCCACCACTGCATTGCTAGAAGGTAAATTTTTTCTATCCTCTGAACACCTTGAAGAAGGGTGAATTGTAGGGTTTTCCCTGGTTACTCGCTCAGCCTCGATTGCTGATTCCACACCAGCTGTTGGGTGCAGGAGCCACCTGTGCGCAAGTGTTCCCAACACCATGGTCGTGACTTCTCGTTAGTAGCTTGAAATGGGCTGAGGTGGGGACGCTAGGCCACATGAACGTGCAGATAGCAAACCCCAGAAAATCGGGGTCTCTCGAGCGCCCCTCCCGTGCACACCCCAAACAGGCACTGGACATGTGTTCAGACGCATGAACGAAAAGGGGCCTGCCGATTTCTTTGCGGGAATGCCAAAGTAGCCGTGATGGCGGTCCCACCAGAAAGCTCGAAAGCTCGGGCTGCACCCCGGAGCCCAGACATCCCATCAGGAGAAAGGACAGGCGAGTGCAGGGAGGTGCCTCCGAGGTCGGGTGAGTGATGGGACCGCGAGCCTTCGTTCTCACGTTGAGGGGCTCGGTCACCGAGCCCCGGTCCTGGCGGAGCTGGCTGCTGGAGCCCCTCCCTGCCCCTCTCTGCTCCTCTCTGCTCTCAGCTGCCGTAGCCTCAGAGACCTGGGCAGGCGAAAGCCCGCCCTCGGGCACCGTGTTTCGGTGCGGAGACGAAGACGGGATGAGGACGTGAAACACGTCATGTATGCACTGGGGCCGCAGCCGGCAGAGAAAGAAATCCGCAGGAGGGGACATTCTTGCAGCCGAGGACAAATGCGCAGGGATGGAGCGCATCGGGTGCCATGTGGTGGGAGCAGGTGGTGGCTGTGGACAGGCAGGAGAGAGGCCTGACTGGCCGTGGTGCCGGCCCCGGTGCAAAGTCGAGCCAAGGCATGAGCAAGACCCCAGCTGTCGGGTTGAGACCAGAGTGAAGTGTCCGGAGTGGGAGGCCGGGGGCTTTGATTGTGCTCTGGCTGAAAGAGGCCGTCCGGGGGTGTGGTAGGTTCAGGTCGGCTGTGCAGGTGGAACCCACAGCATCGTCGGCCGACCAGGCATGGGGCCTGCACCCCCGGAAGAGCCTGGTGGCTGGTCATGAGCTGTGACACTCGGGGTGAGACAGGGACCCTTGGGAGCCAGGGTCACATGCTGACTGGACACCCAGCTGGGGGACTTAGGATGAGGCCCTTCACGGAACAGAGAGGATGGAGGCTGGAGACCCCGCCCAGGGCCACTGCAGGGGGAGGCCAGGGGGAGCCTGAAGGGAGGGGTTTCAAGATGGCAGCATCGCAGCGGAGGAGAGGCTGACAGACCTCAGGGCCCTTCTGCTGAGGAGCCGGGCTCGCGGGGCACGGGGCAGCCATAGCTTCCTCGGAGAGCTCAATCCAGGGTCCGCATTCATTGTTGGTTGTCCTATACTGAGCATTTAACTAATTTAAATTTCCAGAAGTTGTTTCTCAAATTGTGAAAAGCCAGTTTTATTAAATTAAATATGAAGTTTTTGTGAGATAAACATAAGTCACTTAAAAATTTTTTAATTTTGGGGGGCACCTGGGTGGCTCAGTCGGTTGAGTATCTGACTCTTGATTTCGGCTCAGGTCATGATCCCAGGGTCGTGGGATCGAGCCCCAAGTCAGGTTCCATGCTGAACGTGGAGCCTGCTTGGGATTCTCTCTCTCCTCTCTCTCTCTCTCTCTCTCTCTCTCTCTCTCTCTCTCTCTCTCCCCCCCTGCCCTTCCCCCACTCCCATTTATACTCTTTCTCCAAAATAAAAAAGAAGAAGATAAACTACATTTAAAATGTTTTTGTTACTTTTTTGTGTGTTTCTCTCACAGAGGCCTTTCTTATGCATTGCCCTGAAACGTGTCAGGAGAGTTTTCGGTAGTAATTGGGGATTTAGCAGAAATGTTTCTCTCGGTTTCTTATACTGAAACCATCAGACGTGTTTTGTCTACAAGTGTACTTACTTTAAGTGATTGGCAGAACTAAAACTTACATATGAAGCACTTTTCTTAAAAATGGATTCCCTTTTGTGTATGTAGGATATACATTTAAATTTTTTCTTTTTTTTAAGTTTTTAATTTATTATTAATTTTTTTTGAGAAGGAGAGAGTGTGAGCAGGGGAGGGGCAGACAGAGGGGGAGAGAGAGTCCCAAGCAGGCTCCACACTGTCAGCACAGAGCCTGACGCAGGGCTGGAACTCACAAACCGTGAGATCTTGACCTGAGCCAAAGTCGGACGCTTAACTGACTGAGCCCCCAGGCACCCCTGCATTTAAAATGTTTCTATTTCAAGCTATTTTATTAAAATTAAGAAAAAAAAGAAGTGGGGTGCCTGGGTGGCTCGGTCAGTTGAGCATCCGACTTTGGCTCAGGTCATGATCTCACGGTCTGTGAGTTCAAGCCCCGCATCGGGCTCTGGGCTAATGGCTCAGAGCCTGGAGCCTGCTTCCGATTCTGTGTCTCCCTCTCTCTCTGCCCCTCCCCTGCTCGTGCTCTGTCTCTCTCTGTCTCAAAAATAAATAAAAATATAAAAAGAAAAATTTTTAAAAAGAGAAGTTGTAAATGGTGAAGCTTTGTTTTCAAACACGGCATGTCTGTCCCCGACTTTTCCCTGGAAGTAGCGTGGGAAGCGTGGGGAGTGGGTGCGTGGTCTGTGGGCTGGGCGTGGGTGGCGGTGTCCTGGAAGCTGGCGTAGGGTCCTCCCTGAGCTCCCCCGCCAGCTCAGTCATTACTGTTCCCGACGCTGGGATGTCTCGTGTGGCCAGGCCCTGGACAGTCTCCTCGCAAGCTCAGTGTGCGTGTTTAGTGTGCGGACAAAGCACATCTCACCATATACGCGTGCACACGTGTTACACACCACTACTGTGTGTCTGTCACGCACCCTGCTTTATGCCTCGCAAGGGACTGAGGGGCCAGCATTGTCACCGAGGAGACGAGGCTGCAGGGGTCAGGCCGCCGTCCCAGGCAGAAGGGCGCCTTCAGAATGGCCTTGGCCGTGTGCCTCTCTTTGCTCGAAGCAGCACCTCCCGGCAGCCCCGGCTGCGTCCGACTTGGCCTGCGGGGGGATGCTCCCTAGGACAGCGCCTGCTTGGAGAGGGTCAGCTGGCCGCTGTGCGTGGCGGCCTGCGACGTGTCAGAGCGCCTAGGAGGCCTGGCACTTGTGAAGAACCTGCACTGGAAGACGGACCAGCCCTGAGGCGGGAGACGGGCCCGTGGAGCCAGAGGCAGGCTGGGCGCCAAGGTGTATGGGCCGGCTCCCGCGTCTCAGCACCTGTGTCCCCGCGTCCTCACTTAGGATCCTGCTTCCGACCTGCCAGCAGCCCCTCACCTGTGACACACGGCTGTCTGCACTGGGTCCCAGTCTGCCTTGTGGTCTTCCTGGAGCCCGGGTGGTCAACATGATATCGTACCCAATGTTCTGAAGGCGCGACAGCTTGTAGACCAGCGGGTCTCTCACCCACATGAAGTTCGGACGTCCAGATGTGCCGTGTCCTGTAGGACTCACGTGCGGCATGTTCCTGCCAGCACTGTTTTCGTGCCAGAGTTGTGCTGTTTTAGGCCCATTGCAGGTTTTATGCCTGCAAAACTATAAGTCACCATTTTTATTCGGGGGCTTTCTTGTTTGGTGTTATTTTTGGTTTTGTTTTGTGTTTGCTTTGCAGACCATGCCAGAGTGCTCGTGGCCCTCTTTAATTACTGGATCACACACGTCCTTCCTGAGAAACAGTGAATCGAATCGGTGCATCTATTTGAGAAGAGCTAACATTTGGCCAGAAACTGTAAAAGGCAAACATGAAATCGACAGAGACATGATTCCTGCGTACAAAAAGACGGAATCCCCTAAGTTTTCTTCACAGCCCAAATGGAACGTAGCCCGATGGGAACGTTGAAGACCTCACCGCCATGTTATTTATTCATGTGTTGTGCACAGCGGGCAAGATGCGATCTGAGACTTTAAGTGAGAAATTGGGATAAAATGGAAAATTTTCACTGATCTGAAATGGCTTGTCTCAGATTACTACACAGTGATCCTGTTTTTCTGATTCTGCTAAAAATTGAAAACGGATTTTCTGTTAAATAAACTACAGTTTGAAGTTGTTATTTATTTTTATGAAGCTTAAATTGCTTTGTATTTGCAAGTCTGTGTTCTAAGAACACCTTGTAGACATTAAATGCTCTGGTTTCAGTAGCTTGGCTCTAGTTGAATTTGTTATTTTCTTCCTTGTTTCCTCTTCTCTACTTTGAGAAAATCCCGAACATCATCCTGCTGTTTGATCTTTCTTATTGTTCTGGTGACAGTCACCTGTGTTTAGGATTACTGGGTTTTTTAAACATCTGTCAACTGACACACTTTTTTTTTTTTTTTAATGTTTATTTATTTTTTGAGAGACAAAGTGTGAGAGGGGAAGGAGCAGAGGGAGAGGGAGACACAGAATCCAAAGCAGGCTCCAGGCTCTGAGCCATCAGCACAGAGCCCGACGCGCGGCTCGAACCCACAAACTGCAAGATCGTGACCTGGGCCGAAGTCGGACGCTCAACCGACTGAGCCACCCAGGCGCCCCCATCAACTGACACACATACTAGGAAATCATTGGCTGTCTATGAAAAACTATTTTTTATTGTGGTAAAATAGACACAAAGTCACCATACTAGCCATTTTTAAGGGTAGGATACTCAGCCACTATTTTAAGGCTGGATAACGCTCCACTGCATGGATACACCGCATTCTGCTGGTCCGCCATCTGTTGATGGACATTTGGGATGTTTCCCCTGTTCCTGTTGTGAATGATGCCGCCCTGAACATGACACACACAACCGTGCGGACACTTGTCTTCCCGCCTCCCGGGGGTAGAAGTGCCTGGTCTGACGGTCACTCCGTGCATGACTTTTCTTTTTTTTTTTTTTTTTAATTTTTTTTTCAACGTTTTTATTTATTTTTGGGACAGAGAGAGACAGAGCATGAACGGGGGAGGGGCAGAGAGAGAGGGAGACACAGAATCGGAAACAGGCTCCAGGCTCTGAGCCATCAGCCCAGAGCCCGACGCGGGGCTCGAACTCATGGACGGCGAGATTGTGACCTGGCTGAAGTCGGACACTTAACCGACTGCGCCACCCAGGCGCCCCCGTGCATGACTTTTCAAGGAACTACCAGTCTGCCGCCCACAAGGCTGCACCGTGCCACATCCACTAGCCCCTCGCCGAGGCACCATGGTCTCCACATCCTCACCGACACCGTTACTTCCTGTTTCCTTGATAGTGGCCATCTGGACAGCTGCAAAGTGTCTCGCGGTGGTTTGGGTTCACATTTCCCTAATGTCGAATGCTTCTCATGCCCTTGTTGGCCATTCTCTTTTTTGGAGAAATACAGTTGATATCATTGTCCGTTAGTGAATGGGATTATTTGTCTCTTTGTCATTGGATTATAAGAGTCCTTTCATATTCTGGATATTCATCCCTTATCAGAGAAATGATCTTATAGTTTCTTTCCCATTCTGTGACTTCTTTTCTCTCTCTTACTACTGTTCTTTGATGCACAAATTGTTTACATTTTGATGGAGTCTAACTTAATTATGTTTTCTTTTGTTGCTGGTGCGCCTGGTGTTGTATCCAGGAAATAACTGCCAGACGAGTATCATTTTTGCCTCATGTTTTCTCCCAAGAGTTTTGTAGTTCTTTATAACTCTTACATTTAAGTCTTTGATCCGTTTTTGAGTTAATTTCTGTACATGGTGTGAGGTAAGAGTCTAATTTCATTCTTTTGTGTGTGGATGTTCAGTTTTCCCAGGATCATATATTGAAGGGATTGTCCTTTCCCCATCAAATGGTCTTGCACCCGTGTTGAAAATCACTTGACTGTGTATGTGAGAGTTTATTCTGGGCTCTCTGTTCGACTCCATTGGTCTGTGCGTGTCCTTATGCCAGGGCCACACTGTTTTCATTACTGTAGCTTCGTAGAAGGTATGAGATTAAGACGTGTAAATCCTCCAACTTTGTTCTTTTTCGAGATTGTTTGGGCTATTTGGGGCCCCTTGAGATTCCATGTGAATTTTCGGCTGGGTTTTCTATCTCTAGGAAAAACACCTTTGGTATTTTTATAGGGATTTCATGGGATCTGGAGATCACTTGGGGTGGTATGATCATCTGAACACTGTTATTTAAATCTTCTATTCCATGAACATGGGACATCTTTCCATTTATTTCTCTACCTAAATTCCCTTTACTGATGTTTTGTAGTATTCGGTGGACTAGTCTTTCTCTCCATTAAGCTTACTGCCAAGTTGTTTTCTTTCTGATGCGATTGTAAATGCAATTGTTTTCTCAATTTCCCTTTCAGATTGTTCGTCACTAGTACAGACTTGCAGCTGGTTTTTGTATATTGGTTTTATATCCTGCGGAATCCATACATTAGCTCTAATCACGGTGTGTGCACACATTCTTCAAAGTTTTCTGCGCGTGGGATCATCTCATCTGTGAAGGAGATCATTCTTTCTGTTCCTTCCCTTCCAGTTTGGATGCCCCCATTCTCCAGAGGTCCCCTCCCCTCACATCCCTGATGTCCTTCAGAGACACCTGTTCCACTAAGTAGAACCTTCTGGAGGCAGACTGGGACAGCCAGGATTTGCTGCCAGTTCTGGAGCTCCATGGGCTTGCAGGTAGCTGCTGTTAAGTTCCCGAGCTTAACAAACGTCAGTGAGCGGAGCCACCGACCAGGCCGGGACACCTGCATGGGCCCCCACACCCTCGGTCAGGAGTGTCACCTGTGTGGGCGTCCCCCCCAGCCCCCCACACCCTGGGACAGGAGTGTCACCTGCTTGGGTGTCCCCCACCCCACCAGGGTCACTGGTGTGGACCCCCCACACCCTAGGATAGGAGTGTCACCTGTGTAGGCATCCCTCCCCTCCCCTCCCACCCTCCGTCACCAGCATGGGTGTCCCGCCCACCCACTGCATCCTCTCCCCCTGACACCCAGGGGCCAGGCCCCTTCCTGCAGGGACAAGGGACCTCTCGGCAGGTGGGTGTCGGCTGCTTGCCTTCAAGGACCTCGTGGCCGGCCTCAGGAAGCCTGACTTTCTGGTGTGCCATGTTGTAACCCTCTCCACAGGCCTGCAAGTTAATAACTGTGTCTGCCAATATGAAGATATGGACAAATTCATAATTTTCCTATTAATTCTCAACATCCAATTCGTGTCCTTTAATAATGAACAATTTACATTTAACATACTACCGATGGAGAGGAAAACCCTCCAACTGGCAGACAGGGCCCTTTACTTGGTTTCCTTCTCCACACACAATCCCTGTAAAGTGTCCCCCACCTCCTGCCACACCTCGCTGGGTCTCACGTCCTGTGTGCTCCTGACCACACTCGGAAATGCAGAGGAGCAGGGACAGAATGTGACAGGTGGGACGGCCAGGGTCAGCCAGCTCCGTCTCATTCTAATTCCAAACGGAAGAGTGCCTCTTCCAGAAAACAACAGCAAATAAATCCTGTCTCTAATGCGTCAGCATCAATACGATAATCTGTTTATCCCCATGGGGCTGAAGTTGGTTAGTAATTAGATCCATTTATCTTTTACGATAGTGCACAGTATTCGTGGAGTCCATGTAATTTGTTTTCTGTGAACCTTACCCATCGTGGCAAAGAGAAGGAAGCTCTCAGGAAATGGGAGGAATATTTATTAGCTCGTTAATATTGAGACAGTGGTGCCTGGGAGAGAAGCCCACCCATGCTTTCCTGCAGTCCTGAAGCCCGAGAGCCTAGAGGAGGCCACGACGTGTGCGTGTGAGCACTTCTTGCCCCCCACGGCCCCGGTGCTGCAGTGTTTTCAGAGAAAAGCTGTCCTGAGCTCACCTGCACCCACCTAGCTGATTCTGGATTTTTCGTCCATGGCCAGCACTTACTCCAGGGAACGGGTCTCCTCATGTGGGCCACTCACTCTTCAGAGAGTCTGATGAAAGCATCAGACCATCTCCAAAATAAGGAGTATTCACACATTTCCACCCTACCCACCCCCACACACAAATACCGTGTGCAACTTTAAAGAGGCATATTCTCCAGTGTGTTAATGTTCTACTTCTGTACAACAAACTACCACAAACCAGTGGCTTAAGACAGCATCCATTTATTCCCTCCCAGTGTCTGCGGGTCAGGGGCCCGGGCTGCCTGGGTCATGTGCTCCAGGTCTCACCGGACCTGGACTGTTGGCAGAGCTCTGTTCCTGTGGTTTAGGACCAAGGTCGTGGTTTCCTTGCTGGCTGTTGGCCAGGACATCTCTCAGCTCCTTGGGGACCCCCAGGTCCCAGCCACAGACCCCTCTGAGTCCCTCCCAACCTAGCAGTGGCCCCTTCAACCCTGGCAGAAGAATCTAGGAAGAGCTGAGCTTTCTCCAAAGGACTTCCCCTGATGGATGCAGCCCCACCCCACCCCCAACCCCCCCAGGATGCTCTCCCTTTTGACCAATTTAAAACTGATGATTGGGGACCTTCAGGACACTGCAATAAATGCGGGCAAGTCTTTATCGTACTGACGACTGCCCATGGGGCACCCTGCCACTTCTCAGTGACCGCCACACAAGATGCCTGGGTCGTGCACACATAAGTCAGAGAACACATGGGTGTCCTGTGTATACACACACATGAGTCAGCACACACGGGTGTCTGGTGGGTACACGCATGAGTTGGCACATGCAGATGTCAAGGACTGTTGTAAAAATTATGTGATTAACCCAAGGGAGGCTCCTGTCACGGAACCTGCTGCAGAGCGGAGGTGGAAAAGAGTGTTTACTGACCTAGTCCCGGGAAGTTGAGATCAGTGAGTCAGCCTGGGCAGGTGGTGTCTCGTATTTGGGGAAAACACAACAGCACTCCAGTTCCCTCAGCCCAGATTTTTAAAACCCTCCACAAATGAATGTCTTTCTTACACTCCTGATTTTGTCTTCCTTTCGGCTGTGTAAATACAAATTTCCAGAAAATAATGTTATCATCAACACGGACTCCAAATATTAAACCCTCTTCTTCCCCTTAGTGGGTTTTTCAGGGAATACATTCCTAGAGGACAAACACCCTATGCAAAAGCCCCCTTGGCCCCACCATGGCAATGCCACCCTCCGGGACGTGTCCCTGTCACCGTTACCACCTTCCTGCGCGGCTGGCTCGCTGGGTTTCCTTCCCTCCAGCCCCTGGGCCTCGACCTTTGCCCTTCAGCACTGGGGACAGCCGTGGGTTCACAGTGACTGTTCATACTTGGCACGGAAGGGGTCCGATGCAGAACACGCCGCCCCAAACACGGCTCTGGCATGTCAGCCACCGGGGGCCGAAGGCGCTAGAGAGGCAGCAGACGGACGGACTCGCTCCCTACCTCCGCCTTCCCCCCGGAGGCAGGCCGTGACGTTTCCCGAAGGAAGCCACCCTCCCTGCACCAGGGAGAGCAGAGACTTCCTGTCACCAGAGACCGGCTGACACCCAAGTGCATGTGGACAGACACCCCCAGCAGCCCGGTCGTCCCCCCGTGTCTCCCTGTCTCTGCTGCCTGCTCACCGCCCCCCCCCCCCCCGCCGTCTTCATTGTCCCGCTGCAGACTCCACGCAGGTGTACAAATAAATACGAACACGTGCGTCAGCCTAAGTCCTGGGCAGTGTGACCGTCCACAACCAGCCAGAGCAGAGACGGAGGCCGCAGGAGGTCAGAGCAGCCACGAGGAACGTGAAGGGTCGTGCAACACACGTTCATCGGAGCCGCTCTCAGTGTTCTAGCACCTTCTGGACCAGGAGGATGATGTCTGTGCTGCTGGGTAACAGAAAGTCCATTTTAGGCAAACTGTGTGAGTGGCATCAGCCATACGGGACAGTGGGTGCCACACAGAGGGTGAAACAGTGGGCACGAGGTCTGAGGAGGGGTCGCCAGGCCTCACCCGGGTGGCCAGCAGGCCGAGGCCACTGAGGAAATGCTGTACGCAGTCCCCATAAGATGCCTGGAAAGGATGGTCATCTGTCAGCCGTTGCGACGGTCGGCTTTACAGAATAAATAGCCCACGTCAGTTCTTGTGACATAAGAGCTGCTTTTAATGGTCTTGTTATTTGGCTGCCGTACACTTGGCAAACTGACAAAAGACAAATGGGACTTTCCGGCATGTTCTGTCCATTAATAAAATGTGGCTTGTGTCTCACAATTCCACTGAACTTGACTCAGTGTGGATGCGTGGGCGCGGGTGCGTGGCGAGGGAGAGGACGCCCAGGCTGGAGTGAGGAGGCCCGTGGGGTGCAGGAGCAGAGCGGAGGGGCCTGCGGAGGAGGCCAGCAGCTAAGGAAGAGGCGAAGGAAGAGGGCCCCACGGGGAAGGGCTCTCAGCCTCTTGCTGTCCCGGCCAAGACACCATGGCAGGGAGGCCGGTGTCTGTTCCTCACAGCCCTGGCAGCCGAGGTGCGGCTGGTGTGCGGTGAGCCCTCGTCCAGGCCCGAGTTCAGGGACAGGGGGTCTGTCGTCCCTCCTCTGCGCACAAGGACACCAGCCCAGGGGCCCCGGCCCCACCCTGTGACCTCACTCTCTGGTTCCTCAAAGACCCCACCTGCAAATACAGTCACACTTGGGACGGGCCTTCAGCGTGGGCTTTGGGGGACAGGGGGCAGCCTGTAGCGGGTGGAGAACAATTGGAGAAGAGGGCTGGCCCGAGGTGCCGAATGCCCAGAGACCCAGGAGAAAGCTCCGCAGGGGCCGCAGGCGCCTCCCAGCAGAGGGGACGAGGGGCAGCCGCCACGTCTCTGGCCTGTGAAGTATGGAGCCCCCGCCCTTGGTGCGTGGCTGAGGGTGGCACGTAGAGCTGGCAAGGCTCACCTCCCAGGGGCCACGTCGTGGAGCTGTCGCAGTGAGGAGGTGCCTGCGGTGTTCAGACCCTGCCGGGGACACCGATCCTTCCGTCAAGAGCAGGGCGACCTCATGCCCGAGAGATGGCTGGAGCAGTGGCCCAGCTGGGCGGGGCCTGGGTGCCGTCCCAGGTGCGGGGGGCCATCCAGCTCTTCCCACTGCATGCGGTGTGCTGGGTACCTGCACGCACGGTGGGGGGGGGCGGTCTCCTGATCCCCGCGGGACCCCAGCGCCCCGCCCACTCACGTGCTGTCGCCTGTACAGGGCAGGCTGCACTGAGTAAGCTCCTACTGTGTGCTCACCCGTTGGAGGTGCTGAGACCCTGAGGGTTGGAGGCAGGATGCCCGTGGCCATGCGTGACCGTGGGCTTTGGTTTTCCATCTTCCTGCCACTGAGGATCGTCAGGTGGGACAAATTAACCCAAGCGCAGAAACGCTTTGGGTCGGACTTTAAACCTTTACAATTTCATGTCTTGTTTTCTTCAATGGAGAAAATAAAATGTAGCGAGAGGCTCAGAGACCCATGGGAGGTCTAAAATGGACACAGGGGATGCTTGACTGTCCACGCAAATGTGCCCCTGAGAGCAGGACTTTGTGCAAACATTCGTGCGCTGGGGGCAGGTGGTGCATGCGGCCTGGCAACGGGCTGGCCTCTGTTTCCTATTTTTGTCCTGACTGGGAGTCCTTCCACAGAAGGTCACCTGAATGTCTTCAGTGCAGGTGGAAAGGAAACTATGAAAAATATAATTGTACCAGTTTTTCTGTTGGTTGTCCGGGAGGGGAAAATACACAGAAGGAGCAGTTTGCTCGAACCTGATTGCAACTTCACAGACCAGACTGGAAAGAAATCAAAGAGCTTCACACAACAAAGCTTTGATGACGAGCCTTTGGAATCACACAGCACAGCCCCCAAGATAATCCAGAAATACCCAGCAAACAGCCCCTCGTTTACTATCTGGCCTGGCCTCTACTCTTCCAGGAGTTCATCCTGAATTTACACCTCCAACAACCGTTTTAGCTACATCTCCACACACACGTACATGTTATGGACTGTGATACATAATTACGTGTGATAATGTGTAATATGCAATGCACACGGACAGCGTCTGTTGCTAGTGATAAACTTCACATTTTCACCTGGAAGCTTGAATTTTGGAAAACCTGTATCCATCATTGTTATTGACATGGTTTCCTATTCCACTTTGCAACTGACTTGTAAGAATCTGCAACTTACCGGGTTTTGCTGTTGCCTAAAATTATCCATAATGATTCAGAAAGGCTACTAACATACTCCTCCCTTTTCCCGCTCTATAGTAAATTTGCCAAAGAGCTTGCTTTTGAAAATGAAAGTTACTTGTCATTAAAATGTGTTATTTGTGTTAACATATGATGGGTTTTTTATTCTTTTAAATTAACAAACATATACTTTGTATCTCCGTTGCAATTTCTAGCGTGGTGAGTACTGACGGCGTCCACACATGCACACAGCACAGCCCACCGTGTTCCTCACGAACTCTCAGGCCTACGTTCAGGAGCCACTGCCGTCTACACATCTGCGCCAACTCCCCTAGACTCCTTGGAGAAGGGCTGATTCCAGGCCCCGAGCAGAGGTACCCGGGGGTCGGAGTTTCTTGTTCCAGGAAGCACGTAAGGGCTCAGACATTGCAAAGGACTCACCAGAGTAACACAGAAGCCAAACTGGGAATCAGGTAAGCACCCAAGACAGCAATGACCTTAGTGGATCAAACAGTCGGAGTTTGGGGAGGAGGGGGGTCACGTGGCCCCTGGAAGGCCACCCCGAGTCCCACAGTAACCGCCAGTGGGGAGGTGGGAGGCCGGCCCCCTGCTGGGCAGAGCCGACCCTTCCCCAGATGGACTGCAGCCAGTCGCTGGGGGCTCCCACGAGGGGGCGCTGTTGGGGGGGAAGGAGTGGGCCCCACGCGAGGTCCCAGCGAGTCCACGAAACCTTCCCCAGGGACGGCGGGGGTGTCCTCGCTCTCCGGCAGTGTCTGGTTTTCCATATGGTTCGGGAAGAGGGAAGGCATGTGTGGTGGGGGAGTCTAGGTGAGAGGCACGCGGTCTGTTCTTGCAGCTTCTCTGCGGGAGGGGGAGCGTGTTCAGACCAGAAGCTGGGAGGGAAAGGGGTTCACTTACGGAGGGCCACATGGAAAGCGCTCCGCCACACAGCTTGTCGTCTGAAACAAGCTGGGCCTCACCGGCTGGTTGCCCTGCTGGGAAGGCCGGGTTCAGAGCCCCCCCCCCCCCCCCCCCCCCGCCCCCAGGCCCCTCCCCTCACTCGGAACCTCCCGCATCAGCTGCCTTCCCACCAGCCCTGGGGCGCTCCTGCCTTCCTTAAGGGCAGTGGGTGGTGGCCCTCTAGGTTCTGGTGGGGGAGACGCTCCCTGGCACTCCGATCCCAGGGTGGGGGCGGCCCCGGGGAGGGGAGGAGCCCCAGGGTGGGGGGCGCACCGCGGCCTACCTCGAGCCTCAAGAGGTTCCTCTCACCTGGCATTCCGGGTCAGCAGCTCTTGCAGTGCTCTACACACAGAGACCAGCCTCCACCTTCGCGTCTCTCCCTGACCCTCCTGCTCGGGAATTGCCACCAAGGCCCTTGGGCTCAGTGACTGCCCCGTAAGGGGGCTTCTTTAGAGGCATAAACTCGCAACTCACGATGATGAGGAGAAGGGAGAGGAAGCAAAGCCCTTGGGCAGATCTGGAAAATCAAATCCTAGTCTATTGGTACGAAAGACAATGAGCAAGAGAAAAGGCCGTGTACAGACTGAGTGTGGTCACATGGGAAGGAGTGAGCAGCGTGATTAATTCAGCAACTGGAGTCCAGGAAACAAAAGAACAGCAACCAGCCGTCCAGCCAACCACACGCGAACCAACCAACCGAACAAGCACACAACCAACCGAAGCACAAAAGAGCAAGCTACCCACCGTGGTGGGCGTGTGATTTACAAGCGCACTCGCAGTTTGAGACGCGAAATCTGCTTTTCTGAGACTTGGAAGTCTCTGAGAGAAGGCAAAAGAAAACTAATGAAATGCATATCAGGTTTTTTAAATGTCAGCAACTCCGAGAGAACCCTGGACGTGCTAATACACACACACAAAGCTCTGCACGGGCCTAGTGACTGTTTCCTGTGTCTGCTTCACCGACAGCCTGTTGCTCTCGCTGTCTGCACACAGGGTAGAGGAGACTTCGGGAAGGCACGCCGTCTGTGGACGACAGCAGGTGCCAGGCCTAGACGAGGGGCGGAGCCCAGCACCACCGCTGTGCCCAAGACGCCCACACCTGTGCCTCGGACTGGGGCGGCCGCTGAGTCCCGCTGCGGACCCAGGCTCTGCGGAGACACTTCCGAGGACACGGTGAGAGCGTGGCTCCTGGTTTCCGCCCGTTGACGAAGCTTCTGTTGGGAGTGTGGCCAATAGGCGTTTCTCACTGAAGAGAAGGTGCCCAACTTGGTGGAGCTGGAAAATCGTTTACTTTTGTACTAAAAAGCTCCTTCAGACACTCACTCATGATTTTACCATTGTATCCTCTCTCTTCCCGATAGTAAGATGCATTTATCTACGCACGTGCCATTTTCCATTAGGAAAAATGCAACATTTATGCATAAAATTATTAACCGACATTGAGAAAGGGGTTCAGGGAGGCACATGTCAGGAACAGAAGGAGACGGGAGACAGGGGACGTTCCCGAGGATCCCCCACTAGGCGGACCCTCTGCAGCCGAGCCGCGGGGCGGGGCGGGCGGGATTACTTCCCCCCACCCCAAGCTTGCTGACGTTGGCCTGTGTGTCTCAAGCTCCCCCGCGCCTTACTCTGCCAGTCTCCTGATAGCAGGTGCCCAGGAAGGGCCTCACGGGGGCATCACGGAGACACCACGGCCCAGCCGCGGAGGACGTGGCTTGTGAGCCAGGCTGCGCAGGGCGGGCCGTCTGCGGGCTGAGCGGCCGCACCAGTGCCGTGAGCACAGTTGGAGCCTGGACCGGGCTGAGGCTCCTGTGGGACAGACTCGGTATCACCTGCTCACACTTCCCAACACCCCACAGGAACACCCTTAGGATGCCCGTGTGGAGGGTGGAGCAAGGGGAAAAAGCTTCTCCCCCACCCCGGGTTCCAGGGGGGGCCCTGAAGTTCACCTGCGGCCACACCGCGGCACGTGCGTCTCCCCCCACCACCGGGTTCTCTTCCCTCCCGTCCGGGTTCTCTCCCCGCCTCCCCCCGGGTTCCAGGCGGGGCCCTGCAGGTGCACGTGCGCCCACACCGAGGCACGTGGAAACCCCGGAGTCTGCTAGCAGTGGAGGGCCCCCCATCGCAGGAGAGGCTCCTGGCATTGGGACCGGCCTCACCAGCACCACGAAGAACAGAACATTGGCAGCGGGGTGGTGACCCAGAGGGAGGGACTTAGGCTTTTAGGGCAGCAAACCTGGTGGGTAGAGGTTGGGGAACCAAGGAGGTCACGGTGCCCACAAGGGCGGGCAAGGGTCTAGCACGACCCCTCCTCTTCCTGGCCCGGGAGAGGGGAGCCTTTACCCATGGCATTTCTGTCCTTGTTCTAGACCCACGGGTGGAGCAGGGAGCAGCTGTGTCTCGTGTGTCTTCTCAGCCAAATGGCCTGTGCTGGGGTGGGTGTTGTGGCTTCCGGCTCCTTCCAGGGCCGTCCAGCTGTGGTTCAGGGTGCCAGTGGCCTGGCAGGACACTCGGGAAGAGCGGGCCAGGGCTTGAGGGAGGAAACACGGCGGAGCGGGTGGTGAGTGGAGACCCTCGGAGGACTGTGGGCAAAAGACAGAAACATTCTGTCTCCTGGGAAGGTCACAGCCGAGGGCAGCCTCCTGGAGGAGAGGCGTCCTCGTTCGCCACGGTGTCGGTGTCGTTTCCTCATCTTAGCTGGTTACAAACCAGAAGCATCGACCGCGTTCCTTGCCCTGGAAGCGCGGGCAGAAGGGGCGGCCTCAGGGTCAAGTCCCTTTCTGGAGCAAAGCCCACATCTGCGTGCCTCCCCCGCGAGAAGTAGCCATTCACGTCCTTCCCGCATTTGTTTGTTGGCCACACGTTCTTATGAATCAGTTCTGTTTCATCTGAGCCTCGTGGCCCTGGTCGGACGAGGCCACTTGAATTCCCCGGACCCAGGCGTCCTCGGGGAATAAACACCACACCCTCATCTATCCCTAAGAGAATTAACGATAATCCCCTGATCTCCGAATGACTGCATAAACCGCCTGCCACGCTCTGGCCCTGTGGGCCAGCAGGCAGGCAGCAGGCCACCGCGGTCACCCCCACCCCTGCTCCGTCCACAACGCGCCCCTTGGCCTCCCAGAGACGCCGTGCCCCAGGACCTTCCCTCGGCATCTGCTCTGGAGAGACGGGTCAGTTCTTCCCAGGGTGGCCTGCGTCCTCCGCCAGGCCGCTGTCTGCTCCCTTCCGACCCTGTACTCCCTGGGGCTTCTGTCTCTGCGGTCATCAGGTAAACTGGGTGACACTGCTCACCTGCGGTCATTCTGTTCCCTAAGCCTCCCCGAATTGCTCACGTTGTCTGTGGCGCTTTCCTGAGCCGGCTGCGAGAAAGGCCTTTCCCGTCACCCTCAGATGACCACGGCTCCCCTACGAAGGCAGGGGAGAGTTCCATATATCCCCTACCCGGTAGGAGCCAGCTTCCGGGTGGAGACTCCACGGGGACAGCTAGGTGTGTGTGTGTCTGTCTCTCTGGCCAGTTAGGGACTCGCAGATTTTCCTGGGGCCAGCGGGAGCCCCCCGAAGCTGCCCGTGTCCTCCCACTGTGCTGTGTTTTCGAGTTACCACTGCTGTCTCCAGCAGCAGATGGGGGGTGGGGGGGAGAGCCTCACACTTCCTGTCCCCAGAGCAGGGATCAGCTGTTTCTCCAGGGATGGGTTCAGAATCAGAATCAGTCTTTTTCAAAATCCTTCTTCCTCACAGACTCCCCCTGCCGCCACCGCCCGTGTGGTTCATAACATCAGGTAGGTTTGGGGTACCTTCACCCCTATAAAACCTGGCACAGTTCCTGGTACATAGAAGGTGCTGAATAAAAAAAAAAAAAAATAGAATGTCAGTTTTCTTCCTGCCCCTAGACTGACAACCTGCACTGAACCAGAGCATGAATTTAAGCCCAAAATAACCCACATTGACTTGCGGTGTCTCGCTCAACGTAATTGTCAGTCTCAGGGGCTCCTGGTGGCTCAGTTGGTTCAGCGTCCGACTCTTGGTTTCGGCTCAGGTCCTGATCTCATGGTTTGTGAGTTTGAGCCCATCATGGGGCTCTGTGCTGGCAGTGTGGGGTCTGCTTGGGGTTCTCTCTCTCCCTCTCTCTCCGCCTCTCCCCCACGCACAATATCTCTCTCTCATAAACTTTTATTTTATTTTTAATGTTTATGTATTCTTGGGACAGAGACAGAGCATGAACAGGGGAGGGGCAGAGAGAGAGGGAGACACAGGATCTGAAGCAGGCTCCAGGCTCTGAGCTGTCAGCACAGAGCCCGACACGGGTTTGAAACCCACGAACCATGAGATCATGACCTGAGCCGAAGTCAGACGCTCAACCAACTGAGCCACCCAGGCACCCCTCTCTCATAAAATTTTAAAAAGTACATCGGTTTCGTATCGAATCTAGCCATTGAAAAGAAAACGTGGTAAGTGGCTCCCAAGTCGTGTGTTTTCTGGAGATCACCGATCTTCCTGTGAGCGCGCCCACCCAGGACCGCACTCAGCCTCCGTCTCCTCCTCCAGGCCCTGTGTCCACACAGTCCCACGGGGGCTGGGGCCCTGCCCTGTGAGTCTGGGGGACACTCAGTGCACAGCACTGCTTGTCACCATCCCGTTGGGGAGACGTGGTGGAAGCCACTGGCACCACCGCCGGAATCCCCGTGAAGTCCCCTCCTGATTCCCCGCCTTGGCCCCAGACGCCCCAACGACACAGCCGGAATGCCCGCCTGCACCTACTTGTCCGCGGACTCTGCCCACCCACACCTGCTTGTCCGCAGACTCACAACCCGCACAACTGTGCTCTACGTGCTCCCTGCAGACGAGAATGTGCCCTCTGTGCCGTCAGAGTCTGCCTGGGCCCCGGTACCCACACTGCTCTGAACAAGGCTGTCAGGACAGGCGGATGTCCCCCAGGCCCACCGCCCGTGCCACACACTCCCGTGAGCGTGTGGCCAAGTCTCACCTCCTCTTCGGACCTCGCCCTGACCCCTGGGGCACCTGGAGAGACCCCAGCGTGTCGCGTCAGCTCTCGATCCCCGTGTGTCTGCTGTTAGCTGGGCCTTCTACACACCCTGCACCCCCAGAAGGGCCCCTTGCAGCCCAGGGTTGGCCAGTCCACACGCTCCAGGTGGGTGATGCCCCAGGCCCGTCTCCCAGGCCGGGAGCTGGCGGGTCTGGGTCCGCCTTCCCATGGAAGGACTGTCTGGCGATCTGGAGCTGGCTCCCGGTGCCACAAATGGGCTGACCTGAGCTTCTCGGGTGCATGGCTGCCACAGGGCTCAGCTCTCACCCGGGGGACTGACAACGTTCCACAGACAGGCAGGGCGCCCCTGTGGGCGCTCTCTGTGCTCGACCTCGAGGGGGCAGAGCACAGACGGGAGGAGCTCGTTCCCAGCCAAGAAGGCGGCTTCCTCACCGAACACAAAGCCACTTTGAGTTGTGCTATTTTCTCTGTAAGCTCCGCTCACTGTGCACGTTGTGGTAGCAAAACACCTCGGTGCCCGAAGGACGCTCCGTCTTCCGATCTCCCCAAACCTTGGGAGACAGCAGCAAAGCGCTCTGGAGAGTTCAAACCCCCTTTGTCCTCACTCATGGGGTCAGTCACATGCGGCCAGTGCTTGTGCACGTGTGCGGAGACTCGGGCCAGTGCTTTCCAAGTGATGCGCTTAGCGCGGAAATGCAGGGGTCCCTAAATCTTTCTGCTGAGCTTTACATCACGTGCAGCCGTGTGCAGATTTCCAGGACAGACTCACTGGAGCAGGTCCACTGGGACGCGGCAGACCTCGCAGGCATCGGGCACGGGGAGGCCAGGCTGTTCCTGCTCGCTCTGCTCCGTTCCACGTGAACCCAGACCAAGGGCCACGGCCACCCGGCGCCAGGTCAGACCAGGGGGGACAGGGAGACCCCTCTGCGCCCTCAGCTGCGGGGAGGACGTGTCCCGCTCTGCTCCGGGCAGGGCCCCGCTGCGCGTACCTGAACGTGCACACTCGGTAAATGTGCGGTGGTGTATGCATACAGGGGGCTGGTCCTCGGCCGAGGGACGCTGTCACATGGGGAGACCGTGGTGGCGTGCTCGTTTCTGTTCACGCCCTGTTTCTAAGACTGAGACGTCTCGCTCTTTGCGCATCTAACCGTGGATTGCAGCCGCCGTCCGGTATTCCACAGTCTGAGCTGACGGCCCATTCCGTGGGCCCCACACCCCCATCTCCCTTCCCCGGTCAGTAACGGGTTTGCTCTGACCCGCTGGGCAGGCCGCGTAGCTGTGTTCTGACGGCGAGGCGAGGCTCCTGGGGACAGTGAGGGGCGTCACTCCCGGGCCTCACGAAAAGACCACGGTCGCCACATTCCGTGCCTCCCTGGAGCAACCTGACGTGGCCACACACACCAGCCTCAACCTGCAGAGGCTGGGTCAGGTGGTGGCAGGATGGCCGGAACGGAAAGAAGGAGGCGGTCTCACCAACCCTGGGGCCCGGCCACATCTCCCTGGAAAGTGGGCTTGAGGAAGCAGGCGGCCATGCCCATCCTCACCAGCCCACTCCCCACGTGGGCTCGCCCGACACAGCACAGCACACCCAAGGTGCGTGAGGCCACGTGCAGGTGCATCTGGGTCTGTACAGAGCAGGGCCACCCCATCCCCGCCACCCCCTGCCTCACTCGCTCCAGGACGCCCACCCCATGGGCGCCCCCACCTGGCGCACACACTCCTTGCCGGCTCCCCCTTCAGATGGGTGTCTCGTCCCCTCTGTGACTCGAGCAAGTATCCTCGCACGCTTCCTCGGGGACCGCCCCTGCGGGATCAGCCCGTCCCTCCGTTTCCTAGGGTTCTGTAGGGATTCCGTTGTCCTCGAAGCCTGGTGGGAATTCGCTGAAGGTTCTGGATGCATATCCCTCCTCTGTGAGGACATCGTAAGACCCCTCCGGCATCTCAGATGTCCGTTAGCTGTGCTCGGTGCATCCTTACTGAACTGCCCAGTCTCCCCCAATTTCCGACCCATAAAAAATCCTGAGTGGTGCCATGGTCTTCGTTTGTTGTTCGCCAGCAGTTACTGGAACATGTGGCTGATTTATGGATAGATTTTCCTTGTTCGTGAACCCTTGCACTGACCCTCACTTGTTCACGGTGCCCAGTCTCCTTGTGGTCACGGATTCGGTTAGTCAAATCTTCACATTCACAAGCGAGGTGGACCATACTTCCCTTGCCGTCTTCACACCATGGCCACCCACCTGGGCTGCTCCCCTGACAGCCTAGCGTGACAGGAGACCTCTCCCCACCCTGTGGTGCTGTCTCCTGTTCTTCCTGCCCTTCCTCCTCCTCAGTCTCCGGTCGTGGCTGTTAGACCTACGTGATCTGAAGCTCCCTCTGCTCACCCCCTGTTCTTTTGCCCCACGTTAGGGTTGAGTTGTGCTGAAGTCCTGATGTCCAGGCCTCAGAAGGTGACATTTGGAAATAGGGTCATTGCATATGTGATCTGTTAAGCTGTGGTGAGGCTGTACTAGAGGAAGGTGGGTCCCCAGCCCAGTGTGACTGTGCCCTTATAAGAAGGGAAAATATGGACGCCGACATGCACATGGGGAGAAAACCACGTGAGACAGAGGCAGACGATGGGGTGATGCATCTACAAAGCCACGCAAAGATTCCTAGCCACTGGAAGAGAAGTCGAACATTCTTCCTCACAGCTCCCAAAGGAGCCACACCCCCTGGCACCTTGATCCTGGACTCCCAGCCTCCAGAACTCTGAGACAGATCATGCTTTCTATTGTGTGGGCCTCCGGTTCATGGCATTTCGTCACAGCGGCCTGAGCAAACTAACACACTCTCCATCCGTCACACACGCCTCTGGTCCCTTCCTGGCGTCCGCTTCCTGAGGACCTATGCAGACGCACCGGGACTCCACGTGACAGTGGAGTGGAGGACACTCACAGGGTGGCCCAGCGAACATCCACGCAGAAGTATAAACAGATCTGCAGGTAACGTCTGGTGACCTTCATGAGTCCTGCTAGTCTAGTGCACTGACAGGGGACACTGTGAGGGGCTGGAATTTTCTTTGCACCACTCACCCAAAGAAAATCTCAGTTGAGGATTCATGTAATCAGAGTAACTTGAGTTGGGTTCTTACTTGATAAAACTGTGGTATATTCAACCTGACTGCCTGCGTTATGGTTCTCCAGAGAAACAGAACGATAAGAGATATATAAAAAAATATTTAGCATAAGGAAGTGCCTCACGTGGTTGGCCCAGCAAGTCCAAAGTCTGAGGGCATGTGGGCAGATTAGAGACCCAGGACAGCCCGTGTTCCAGTCCAAGTCTGAATGCCACACCCTGGAGGAGTGTCTTTTGCTCAGGCAGAGGATGGCCTTTTTGTTCTAGCCAAGCCTTCAACTGATTGGATGAGGCCCACCACAGTAGGGGGGGCACTCTGCTTTCTGGAAGTCCACTGATTTAAGTGTTGATGTCATCCCAAAACCACCTCACAGAAACTGCCAGGGTAACGTCCGATTAAATATCTAAGCACAGTGGTCCGGTCACATGCACACATAAAACTAGCCAACACACTGCATTTCCAAGGAATCAGAGAGGATTCCGTTTCCGTGCGATAAGGACAGTGGCAAACAGCACACAAAACTGTGTTTTAGGTGTTGTCAGTTCAGAGATGGAGACGGGAGGGTGGGGAGGGTGGGGAGGAAGCAGACGTTCTCCGAGGTGAGGACACGGGACCCCGGGGTGCATGACTCCCGGCCATCGGCGCCACCCTGACGGGTCAGTTCTGTTCATTGTTGGTTGTTCGCCTCGGCAAGGCCAGCCTCTCCCCTCGAGGGGAGGTTGAAATGCTCGTGTGGCTGTTGGGGGTCAATGTCATTCGTGTACCCGGTGAGACCCAGTGTGGACAACCCATGCCTGCATAACTACTGACAAATGGAAGTCAGCTTTTAGGGGCTCCCGTGGTTTAGCTGCACAGCACTTACCTGAGTTCAAGCTGGAATCGGGCCCAACGTCACGCTGTCCGTGATGAGCCTGACACAGAGGAAAACCCAGCTGGCCTTTCGGGGCCCTGATTTCCACCCTAAACTGAAAACCTTACTGGCGGTGCTAATTCCTGAGGTTTGCTTCGTGGGTTGGCACGGCCCAGACACGCCCAAAGTGCCGGCGGGTGGGCAGTGCTCAGTGCTCAGTCTCTCCCAAACTGGTTGGGCAGACACAGGGGCCGCTGCCCTGGCCACGTCCCAGCTGGCTGAGCCACGTTCTTTCTTATCTCCGTCCGCCTCTTCGACCTCATCACGAAGCAGCTCCCCAGGGCTGTGTGTCCGCATCCATCCAGGCTGCGCCACGGGAGCTCACCCTGTGTTTTCACGGGCGGTGGCCCGCTGTGTCCCTGAGGCCGCAGCAAAGATGACACATTCACCCCCGAAAGGAACAGAGGAGGAACACCGCCCTCTGTCAGGAGACGTCGCAGAGAGCACGGTGTCATGTGACTGGCAACGTAAATTATTGTTGACAACCTGAAAAGCGTTTATAAAGAGCCCATCAGAGCTTTTTAAAATCCTCGTAAAACACTGGAAGCTGACGAGGGAATACGTGTGACCCGTGTGACCCCTCCCGAGTGTCCTGTGGTGACCGATGTGCGGAGACACCCAGGCTGCGGTTAGGGACGCACAGCAAGGAAAATGCCTCTTTCAGCTAATTGTTAAGGTATTTAATGTTCCAGGGAAAGTGTTACAGTTCTCAGGGTTCGATAAATGATGATGGCATTTTTCGCACTGAAAATGCTGGAACAAATCCTGTTTATGCTCTTTTTTCAGGAGGCGGGTCGAAGGCTTTCTCAACAGTGGGCCAGTGGTTTCGGGGAGACGAGGGTCAGCTAACGGCACAGGCGTGCTTTCTGCCGGTTGCGAGATGTGAGGTCGTGATGTAACGGCCACTCGTTTATGTCCACAAGGGTCCTCGGTGAGATGCGCGTTGTTCCGCTTGGTCTTCTGACGGATCAGCCTGAACGGTTTCCCCGGTCCTCCTGCAGGTGCTCTGTGTCCAAACCTGGCATGGGCTCAAGGTCAGGGCACGTGAGCCAGAGCCCTGGGCGCCCACGGGACTGGGCTTCCCTGCGACTGTGGAGCTCAGCCCTCAGGCGGTGGCCGCCCATCCGGTGGCCTGTGCGTCACCGCTAGGGGCTGTCCGGGTGGGTGTGGCGGCATCCTCAAGGCCCTTCTTAGCTGGAACATGTGTGACCCAGAAGAGCTAGGGCAATCCCCACCCCCACGTGGTCAGCTGGGGAACAGACACCCTCCGAGACCAGCAGCAAGTGGCCAGTGTGCCAGCGGGGCTGCTGGGGTGTTGTGCCTCCGGTTCCTCACCCAGGACCAGGTGACAGCGGCAGGACTAAGGGAGACAAGCGCCTTGTGTCCTCAGGAAGCCAGACCACACCTCCGGGAGCCCTCACGCGGCCAGCGAGTAGGAGGCAGAGGCCGGATTAACTTCCTGCCCACGTTGCTGCCGGTAAGTAGCCTGAGGCACCGAGCTCTCCTTCCTCACTGTTTCTCTCCCAGGCAGGCGGCGTGGACGTTGTGACGGGAAGGCCCGGGGCCCCGTGTTTCCTGGCGGAGTGGCCCCTCGAGGAGGAGTGGGGTCACGGCAGTGGGGGGATGGGGCTCAGGGACAGAGCCAGCGGTGGGAAATGTACCTACTGGGACCAGGCATCCTTGGAACAGAAAGCACTATGCAAAACCAAGCTGGGTTCCGTGTTTCATTAAATGTCAATTAAAAATTTTTTTTTAATGTTTATTCATTTTTGAGACAGAGAGAGATAGAGCATGAACGGGGGAGGGTCAGAGAGAGGGAGACACAGAATCGGAAACAGGCTCCAGGCTCTGAGCTGTCAGCACAGAGCCCGACGCGGGGCTCGAACTCACGGACCGCGAGATCGTGACCTGAGCCGAAGTCGGACGCTTAACCGACTGCGCCACCCAGGCGCCCCTCATTAAATGTCAATTTAGGCAAATTTCCCAATTTTAGTCTTCGTGAGACCTGAAGATTTTGCTGGCACTTTCTCGTCACTCCTGATGATCTTTTTCAACCTGTGGAGGATTGCTCTGAATATATAAGGTTGCTGTGATAGGGAAAAAATTCTAATTTTTCTCCTTTTAATTACAGCTTTGAATGCAATATCGATTTTGCTCAAAGTCCTTCTAGCCTGTAATTTAGTAAAACTAATTCAAGTGAACACAGACTTCTCCCCGTTAGGTCTCATAATGGTTCGTGAAAGTCTTAATTAAGCATCTGTTAAAAGGTAAATGATGGGGCGCCTGGGTGGCGCAGTCGGTTAAGCGTCCGACTTCAGCCAGGTCACGATCTCGCGGTCCGTGGGTTCGAGTCCCGCATCGGGCTCTGGGCTGATGGCTCGGAGCCTGGAGCCTGTTTCCGATTCTGTGTCTCCCTCTCTCTCTGCCCCTCCCCCGTTCATGCTCTGTCTCTCTCTGTCCCAAAAATAAATAAAAACGTTGAAAAGAAAAAAAAAATTAAAAAAAAAAAAAGGTAAATGAGTTACGAAAGTGAGCATGGATGTCACTCTGGACTAGCTACTACCAAACATTTGAGAAAGAGCTAGACTAACTCCTGCTTTAATTAAATGATGAACATCTCTGCATTAGACTCTGTATGGGAGTCACCTCGTGTAGGAGGCAGTGGGGACACTTGAAAACGAGGACGGCCCTGTGCCCAGTCACCGGCATGCAGTCTGGCGTCCAGAGGCGCAGTCCACAGGTCACGTACAATTCAAAGCAGCACAAGGCGACACTTCCCCAGGGTAAACCAAGCTTGACTTGAGTCATAATTGGAGGCAGAGCTACAGTAAGAGACACCACGAGCCAGTGTTTGAAATATTCGGATTTTCCACTGCTTCCTGCGTCCACATGCCCGAGCGCCCATGTGCCACCGAGGTCACGCAGCGGACGACGCAGGGAATCAGGGACGAGAAAATGCCCCGAGATCCCGGGAGGCCTTTGGTGCAGGCACCGGCAGGGAGCAGTCTGCTGCGGGAAGAGTCGCAGCTCAGGGAGCACACGGGTCCCGCGAAGGAGGTGCTGACACGGACTTCTCCTGAGGTCAGCGCCTACCTCTCCACGGGCAAGCGGGGGCCATCTGTCTGCTGTTTGCCCCCAGTCTTTGCACCTAGTCGGGCCTCTGGCACAAGAGGGGTGGTGGTTGAGCCAGCCGGCGGGAAGGGGGCAGGTGGGGCCTCGCGGTAACACGGGCCACTGCTCTGTCTCAGAGGAAGCCAGTGCCACGCGTGGTGTCAAGGCTCCCGGCACGGGTGTGGGTCCTGTGCAGAATACTGGGAAGGGGACACGGGGCTGAGTCCAGGAAATGTAACATGAAGGTGGCCGATCGTTTTCGGGGGAAAGCAAGCCGTGCCAAAATTCGCCCTATCCTCGTAGGTCACCAGCCCTGGGGGCCCAGCCCTGTCCTCGTAGATCACCAGCCCTGGGGGCCCAGCCCTGTCCTCAGAGGTCACCAGCCCTGGGGGCCCAGCCCTGTCCTCAGAGGTCACCAGCCCTGGGGCCCAGCCCATTCTCAGAGGTCACGAGCCCTGGGGGCCCAGCCCTGTCCTCAGAGGTCACCAGCCCTGGGGGCCCAGGCCTGCCCTCTGAGGTCACCAGCCCTGGGGGCCCAGCCCATCCTCAGAGGTCACCAGCCCTGGGGGCCCAGCCCTATCCTCAGACGTCACCAGCCCTGGGGGTCCACCCATCCTCCAAGGTGACCAGCTCTGGGGTCCCAGCTGGTCCTCAGAGGTCACCAGCCCTGGGGGCCCAGCCCTGTCCTCGTAGGTCACCAGCCCTGTGGGCCCAGCCCTGTCCTTGTAGGTCACCAGCCCTGGGGGCCCAGCCCTGTCCTCGTAGGTCATCAGCCCTGGGGGCCCAGCCCTGTCCTCTGAGGTCACCAGCCCTGGGGGCCCAGCCCTGTCCTCAGAGGTCACCAG